TTAAGCTAGCTAGCTCGTTGCAGATTTATTTATCTAACTTAGCTTAGATCCTCTTGAGATGCGTATTGCTTAACATATTGTAGCATGCAGAGCTTTGGTTAACCTCATAAGCAATCCTACTAGAATGGTCTATATCTATTTCACAGATTCATCTAGCTTAGACTCTTGCAGATATTCATACAACCCCAGTTCCTACTGTGGCTCTCTACCAGTTTTTCTATATCTATCTTTTCGGATGTTTCACAAGGCAGATCCTCCTAATTCAGTTAGCCGCCAAGCCAAGTTGGTATTACCGATTCTTCCTGTAGAACGAATTTATGCGTACTTGACTCGATCAGCATTTTTTAAAGATAGTTTCCTTTCTGGATCAAGCATTAACTAGTATAACTGTCAAAAGCTATACTACTTCACTAACTCGGGATTTCTACTATGCAGGTCCCCTGCTCATAGATCCTATCAAGATTTATTCATGTAATATTATGCTCTCTGAACATTTTGTCACACTTCCAATATCTGAATGATATTGGTACAATATGATTTACAGGGTTACAACCCCAGAAATATACAGGGTTTACCATAAGTTGAATACAGAGGTCTGAGTAATTATTCAAATTTGTCGACAGTGGGATTTGAACTCCAAACCTCTTGCATGGCAGTTTGGCAACCTAACCACTGCACTAAGATTGCCAGACCTTTAAATTGTGAATTCTTTTTTAAGACATGTATAAAATATTTAATTTAGTAAAACTTAAAATACTCAAAAAATTATTAGAAAGAATTAAACTACTAAAAAATATAGCTAGTATTATCCTAAGTCTTTATGAAAAAAAATTAAAGTTATAACAAACTTTAGTTTTATAAAAGAATTTGAAGCAAAAAATAACTTTAACTAGAATAAAATAATCTTATCTCTAGTTTAGTATATATTTTATAACTCTTTGCTATGCTCAGTTCAAGAATCAAAAAATCTAGAATATAAGATAATAACAAAATAGCTAACAGATATCAAATACAATTTAATCAAAAAAATAACTTACTGACAAGTAGTTCTGACTTATGCAAATAATGTAATCTAGATTGCTAAGTCTAAAGAAGAGCTACAAAAAATTATCAACATTTCTAATGAGCTCAATGAAATAAATAATATTGAGATCAATAGTAAGAAATCTGAGCTTATAGCTATAAATATCAACAAAAAGAAGTATAAAAGTAAAGACTAATTAGCTATAATTATAGATAAAGACTAAACAAAGTATATGCAAAAAAGAAATAAACCTAATAAGATATCTCGAGATCTGAATTTTAGACAAAAGAAAATCTAGTCTCAGACTTAAGCATAATAAGAAATAAAGTAAGCAAAATATGCAAAGCAATAAAATAGAAAAAAGTATCTGCAAGCCAACTAATATATTTAAATAATAGTATCTTCTTACTAAGTATTGAATATAAATTGCAAATAATATTTCTTAGCAAGTCTATTTGCAACAACTTGCAAAGACCTATTTGAGTATTAATTAAAAACAAATTAGAATTAGCAAGCTCTACAGTAAACTTAATTTGTAGTCATATTAGTTTTATAGATCTAATATTAATATAACAAAATTAACTTGTATATCATTTTATTGAATTAATAATATATATAAATTAGTAGAAAATATTAGAAAAAACTATTAGATAAAAATCAAAGAAAAGTAGCTACAAAAAAAATATCTAAGTAATCTAATTAGTGAGAATTATAAGTCTAACAAAATAGTATCTAAATACAACTTAGTACTAAGAATACTATAGAAAGTAGCCAAGCTAGACATAGAGATAAAAAAGCCTGCAGAAAACCTTTACTTATTTAATCTGAAAAAAACAAAATTGCAAATCTACTAAGTAACAAAGAGTTATACTTCTTTATAAATTTAGACAAAATGAATTTCTTTACTCTTAAACAATTAATAGATTGCTTAGAAAACTTTCTACTAATTTAGCAGTAATTAAAATATATAAGAAAAGAGAAAAGAAAAAGATATATACCAAGTTAGTTTACAAAATTAGAAGAAAAATTCTTGAAAGAAAAAAACTCAAGAGATGTATAAGATATATACAAAGTAGAAAGATCTAACAGAAGTACAATTAAAATATAGTCTAAAAGAATATTAAAGAATAAAAAAAAAAAAAATAGATTTAATTTAAGAAAAAAAGAGTACTATATATAGATAAAACTACAAGAAAAACTAAGAAAAGTTTAATAGTAATATACTAGAAAGAAAGAAATATATAGTAGAAAGCTAGTTTTTTCTTATATATAATAGATATAATATAGAAAGCTTTAACAATAATAACTATTTAATTTAAAACTTTTTATATTAAAACTTTTACATCATGAACTACTTCACAATATTTGAAAATAAAAACCTAAAACCTATATTATCTGTTATTATTACACAAAAAAAACCTAAGCACTAATAAATTAATAAAGTTTACTGGCCTAAGAGAACCGATAAATTTTCAAAAATTATTTGATATAATAAATAATATAATTGGTAATTAATATAATTTCAATATAGTATTAAAAAAAAAAAAAAAAAAAAACAATAATAAGATTAACATAATATCGAAAAATACGGTCAATCAATCCCTGTATTTTTGGGACGAGCATAGAAAAAAAGGGAGAGTTTTGAGAGACTTGAATGTATCTTTCATAACGAGAAAAATATCAACCATTTTTATTAATGAATAGCATGCGGATTTTAGAAATGTTACATCTAAAGTTATAATGAAAATTTTCTTTTTTTTTTTTTTTATATTACAAACCGGTCAAATAAAAACAATAAAAACACAATAATAAAATGTATATGAATAATAAAATATAAAAATGATAGAACTCTGTTGAATCATCCAGATTATCTTATATATAATTAATCTAAGAGTGAGATTAAGCAAATAAATAAATTATGTAAAAATAACAATAATGAGTTTATTATAACGAACCTTCAGGAACTTCAAGTATAGGATGCCTAATTACATCTATAAAATTAAAATGTAAATATACCGCAAGAAGTATGTAATTAAAAAATAAATATAAAAAGTATAGTATTTAAAAAAATAAATACCATCTAATCGCGCCTTATTTATTGAAGATATTTTAGCAAAGCCATTTGTAGCATTTGCGGGTTTTGGAAGACTCTTAAACTTTAATATTTGACTTTTGTAAACAGCTTTTTCGTGAATAATTAAATTCAATTTTTTCGAACTTGAATTTCTTTTCCAATCTTCGTTAGCAATCTTGAATTCCTTATAAATTTTTGAAGCAGGAACATCTCGAATCCTATGTTTCCAACGTTCTAATTCTTTATGTATTTGTTGCATGGTCGGACGTCCATCAGGATTTGCATCCCAGCATTTATTAAATAATTTTTTTAAAAGTGAAGGAGTTTCTTTCGGAAGTTGTGGCCGACGTCCCATAAATATTTCAAATACTAAACCCATATCATGAGGCATATTATAAAATGGAGGATTACCAGTAATCACTTCTGAAGCGATTATTCCAAAACTGTAAACGTCGGAAGCACATGAATAAGATGCCTCAGATAAAACTTCAGGAGCAACATAAGGAATTACACCATAAATATTTTTTGAATGTTCCATATATAATGGTTTACATAAACCCAAATCACTAATTGTAATGCCTTGTCGATCATGTAAGATGTTGCCACAGTGAAGATTTTTATGAATTTTATTTACATCATGAAGTTTAGAAAGACAAGAAGAGATTTCTAATATAATATCAAATCTTTGATCCCAACTTTTTTCATGAAAAGATTCATTTAAAATACGTCGTAAACTTCCAAGACTTGCATATTTCATAACTATTCCATAATTTTTTGATTTTGGATCCTGAGAAATTCCATATATTCTTGTAATTGGTTTGTTGTCACCAACTCTAAGATAAGCTTGAATCTAATTCAATCATTATTATTATTATTTTTTTACTTAAAATTTTAGATTTATTAGATTATTATGATAATAATAAAACATTTTTTTTTTTTAAAAAAAAAAAGAATTACCTCTTCAAGGAACTCAAAACTTGAATCTTTAGAATTATGAAATTCTTTAAAAACAACCATAGAAATACCAGCTCGAGACCATTGTTGTTTATTTAAATCAAATCGTTGCATTGGACCATCAACCCAAATAGCAGAAAAAACGGTAGCGAAACCACCTTGAGATATACGAGTAATTTCCTTTAAATTTGAATAAGGGATCCATTCCAATAATTCATAAATATTTTTTGATTTAGTTTGCGATCTTTGAATTAGTCGATCAAGTTTATCATTTCCAGTAGACCATTTATCAAAATCTTGACGAAATCGTTTTGTGTTACAAGGTTGACAGTAAAATGAAGGATTATGATGATTATATTGATATTCATAACATTCATCACATGCGGGATAATGAGTTCCAACATCGACAACGGTTTCTGATCTGGCACTTCTGTTTAAAGGAGAAGTTAGCATTCTCTGAACTGATTGTATGCATTTCATCAAACACTCGTATAAATTATTAGATGTATTAGATGTGCTCATATTTAAAACATTTTAAAAGTATTTAAAATATTTAAAATATATTCGATATGTTCATCAATATTTTTTCAAAAGAAAGATGTACTAATTTTTTTTTTTTTTTAATTTATATAAAAAATTCATTATGGTGATACATGCATTTATTTGAAGTCTATATATGCAGAATATGTAATAATTTGTTCATAACAATATTCAGGCGGATTGTCACACGAGGCTTACTCACTTATTTACATAAAGTGCCAATGTAACTTGTATATACATAGTCGGGATTTACCAATTTTGCCTGCATATTATATCAGAGAAAGTGCTACATGACCACGTGTGTAAAGAAAGGGTCTAATAAAATGCTAAAGCTGGTCAGAATTGATTTGTCTAATACGTTGCGTACGTACTGTACGTGTTATACGTACAGTATAACGGTTACGTAGCCGACTAAACTATAATTATCGTTATTGGCTAAATTCAGCCTTTTTATTGGTTAGCTTATCGTTAATTGTTTCAAAGGGATTTCAATAATTACCGAATAAATTGTTTATATATCAGATATATTATATCGAATATGTCAGATACGTATACGTACAGTATTAGCACGTAGCTTAACAGGTAACGAGTAAGTAAACTTAACCAACGACTTAGTTGGTCGACTGTTATAAAATTCATATTAGAATAAAATTTCCGTTTTTATATATTCTTTTTAGCAACTGCAGTATTGTACGTATAAATTAGAAAAAAAAAACTTTTTTATCTCTTAAACTGTCTATTTTAGTGTGCATATTTTGTTATATGTAATCATTAGACAAAGCAAAAAAAAATTATTTAACGTTAAGTTAATAAATTAAATAGAGTACTCCAGATCAAATAGCGTACTGCAACACAGCCATGGTGCTGATACGTGCCAAGCGGACTAAACAAAAGAAACAAATCTGCACTGTGGCTATGAACGTAATCTTTTTGGCCCAAATTTTAAAGTAATCATAGTAGATTTCATCAGTTATTATTTAAACAATTATGGTGTTAAATGATATCTTTGTACTTTGTTCGTACTGTAGAAGCAGGAACTATTAAAAAATTTTTTAAAAAATTTGTTTTTTAAGACTCTCAATTGACCAACAAAATGTAGAGCTAAAATTGATTTTTTTTTTTAAAAAAAAAAATCTCGATTAGCAAATCATATATGTATGATATCGATTGTTACGTTGATTTTTAAATTGTACGTATTAACTAAAAAAAGTTAAACTAAAACTAATTTATTAATTGATCTAAATATATTAAGCTTTAATTTTAACTAATCCGAATTCTTGTGATCATCCAATAAAAAAAGGTTATGTCATAATTCATTTCAATTAAAAGAGTCTAAATGTTAGATTTTATTTACTTGATAAATAATATTTAAAGATGTTATCTATAACTAAAATTTTATTTTGAGCTTTTTATTCTTTTTTTACAATACTATGAATTTTTATTTTTAGACATACAGTAATACATATAAAAAATCAGTTTACGTGAATTTAAAAAATTTTGTGATGATATATATCATTACATAATTTTTCCTAATTTAACTATTAATACATGTTTATTTTTTTTTTAATATCATGTTTATTTACAAAAAACATATATTTGCAGATCTCAAAACAATCAAATAATAGATACATATTAATAAAAAAAGGTATATAATAATCTATTTTTTCCTTTTCTTATTTTTTCAAACCTTTACTTCTCTTTTAATATTTTTTTTTTGTTATTAAGGCTATTTTCTTAGCTGATTAGATTTTATTAGTTTGTTATTATGAAACTATTACATGAATAGTTTCTTAAGGTTTTACAGTTACATGATGAGTATACAACAAGCTACATGTACAACTTTAGTCATTGTCTAATTTAAGTAGTCTGCTATATAGACGATTGATTATCTGTTAGTTTTACACTATACTACCATACTTGCAACCTATCTGTAAGTTACTTATTTAAACACTCTGATCATTAACTCTTCTCTCTATCCCAAACTAATATCACTACTATGATTAACTACTTAAGCTAGCTAGTTTACTCATGGATCCATTCTCTGCATAGCTTAGGTTTTCTTAAGATATATATATCTAATATATTATGAGTTGTAGAGCTCTAGTTAACCTCAGAAGTAAACCTACTAGAGTAGTCTATACCCATTTTACAAATTTACCTAGCTTAGACCCTTGTAGATGTTTATACAACTCTAGTTCCTACTATGGCTCTCTACTAGTTTTCTGTGTCTATTTTTTTAGATATTTCACAAGACAGATCCTCTCAATTCAGTTAGCCACCAAGCCAAGTTGGTATTACTAATCCTCTTTGTAGAATGAATTTATGCATACCTAACTCGATCTGCATCTTTTGACAATAGTTTTCTTTCTGAATTAAGCATTAGCTGGTATAACTGTCAAAAGCTGTACTATTTTATTAACTTGGAATTTTTACTATACAGGTCCCCTACTTGTAGATCCTATCAAGATTTATTTATGTAACATTATACACTTTAGCATACTTCTAATATCCAAATAATATTAGTACAACATGATTTACAGGGTTACAACTCCAGAAACAGAAAAGGTTTACTGTAAGTTAGGTACAAAGGTCTGGGTAATTATTCAAATTCGTCAATAATGAGATTTGAACCTCAAACTTCTTGCATTACAATCTAATAACCTAACCACTACACTAAAATTACCAGACCATCTTTTTATATTTTTTATACTTTTTTAAAAATTACAATAATATATTTTAATTTAAGACATGAGTAACAATTTGCTCATATTAAGATATAATATAAAATCTTTAGAAGATTACTCCTAGACTTTTAGATTATATTTTTGGTATTGACATATAACTTTCTAGAATACTAAAGTCATATTAGTTATTCATATTTTTTTTTTTTTATAAAAAATAGATCTTTATCGTTAATTTGGTATCAATAAAGAAATTTAATTTTTATATTTTAAATAAAGTTTTTTTTTTAAAAAATATAATTAATTATAACAATTTATTATTAATAAATAAAATAAATAAACTTGTAATTTTAATTTGAAATTATTTAAATAAATTTGTAATTTGAAATAAATTTGTAACTTCAATTTGAAATTATTTGAATAAACTTGTGATTTGAAATAGGATAAATCTAGATAGTGCACCTATTCACTTTGTGCATCTAAGTTACATAAATATATTTTATAATGCATAACATTGTACAACAAAAATAGACCCCTAAGTCTGTATCTGAATCATTATTTTGATCAATGCATAATGCAATCGATCGTATGTAATAAATAGTAATCGTGTAAATGATCAAACTTCTTTCACTTTTACAGTCTTGAGTAAATTCGTTTTGCATCTATTTGGTAGAATAGAAATATTAAATATATGTAATAATAATATGACTTTTTTTGATACTAACAGACTTAAAAATTCATATAATGTTTTTTTGATTTTAGCCTGGATTTGCCTAACACGTGAGCAAAAAATACAGCATATTTAAATATCACAAGTGAATAAGACAAGGACGTTAATATTTTTTTTGTAATATATAGCGCATTTTTTTGTTGATAGATTCTGATTTTGTTTTTATATTTAAGCAGAGAAAATATTCAAACTGTAACTGTAATAATATTTTTTTTTGATACCAATAGACTTAAAAAGCATACAACTTTTTGCTTTAATTATAGCTGATGCAAATCTTAGTTTCGTTCTCATTTTTATATTGTTTTCAAACCAGTAGAACTAATATGTGAGTGAAATATGTAGTAAATTTTTTTCAATACTAATAAATATTAAGACTCAGTCTAAAACTTTTTTTTTTTTTTTTTTACAGAGACATTCGACAAAAATCAAGCAAGTAAAAAATATCTATAAGGAAATAGTAGCTTAATATAAACAACCCAATTGAAGAAGTAATAATTAGCGAAGATCAAGTGACTAGTGAAGATTAAGTGACTAGTGAAGATCAAGTAACTAGTGAAGATCAAGTAACTAGTGAAGTTAACCAAATTTATGTTAGAAGGTCTTTCGTATCATAGAATGAAGTTACTTTATTCTTAGATGAATACTGTAAGTGACAAGGCTTTGGTTATCATAAGGATCACTTTAAAAAAGGTAACAATTAGAATGTTAAGATGCGGACGTTTCTTTGTAGATATGCAGGAACTTTTATATCAAATAAAATAGCTTCTTTTAAAAATCAACATGATACACAGTTATGTAAGGTGAATTGTCCATAGCATCTTAATATCAATCAAAATAGCGAATGCAAATATGTTGTTACTTTATTTGTTAATAAGCATAAAGGGCATGCTTTATCTCCTGATACTGCACATTTGCTACCTCAGTTTCATAAATTAACAAAGCCAATGCTTGCTAACATTGAATTCTAGACATTAGATGAAAACATAAAAATGAACTAACAGTATCAACTACTTTTAAGTAAGTATAAACAGAATATCTTAAAAAAGGATTTATATAATGCTATTAGCTATTTTCGTCATCAAAAATTACTAATATATAATGATGCTTGTAATTTGTTGAATGATTTGCTTTCTAAAAAAGCTAATGATTCAGAATGGATCGTTGAATATCAAGTAGATCTGGTAACATGAGCTCTTATCCATTTGTTTTGGATGGAACCATACCAAGTTGAACTATATACTCATTATAGATTAGTTGTTGCACATGACAATATTGTGAAAACCAATATTCATAACTTGCTATTATCATATTTTTAATTGTTGATAACAATTATAGCTCAAAGCCAATTGCACAAGCATTCTTAGAGGATGAGTCATTAGAATCATATTCGTGGAGTTTGAAAATACTCATTCAAGCTATTCATGTATTACTATCAATTATGATTATGGACACAGATCTAGCTATAGATGTAGCAATTGCACAAACTTATCCTTTAACACAGCACTTACATTGTATATAACACATCAGACAAAATATACTAAAAAGCTTGCATAATAAGTTATTAAGTGAATATGAAAATTTTGCTAAAGCATTCTTTAGCTGTCGTAATAGGCTTGAAATTATAGATTTTGAGCATCAGTATTCTAAGCTAATTAAAAAGTTTCCTGCTACCCAAACCTATCTCGAACATTTATATAAAAGCAAAAAGGCATAGACAAAATATTATTTAAGTTCTTGTTTTACGGCCAGTATGCAATCAACAAGTTGAGTAGAAAGTATTAATAATGCTATTAAGGCAAAACTAAATGAACGATCTGTAATATTATTCAATGTATGCAAATATATTACTCAATTCCTTCAAGAATGTCAAAGCAACAATGAATTCATATCATGGAAACAATCTACGGTATTTATTTCACTACCTAATATTTATAATACAATCTTTTCAGATATTGATCTTGAACTTCGCATTTTTATAACCTTGCCATTTGTCAATAAAATCTGAGAACAAATGAATTACAGTTTTTTATATAATACAAAGGTTTTAATTGATTATATGGCTCTCTAAAACAGAGAAGTAGATTGTGAAACAGCATGTTTAGATGAAGTTTTTGACCTACCTCAAGTGTGAACAAGTACAATTTTTCGTGAATATTATAATCAAATAGATTCTATTTGGGAAGTAAGACATATTAAGTATAGTGATATTGCTCATTTTGTATTCCTTCTAGTTGACAGAAACTATCAGTGCATTTGCAAACTATTCATGACTTCTGGCTGGGTTTGCTGACATTTTTTTTATATTATGTTCCTAATACCATTAGCAAGATTTCATATTTGCATGATAAACTGGCATTAGTATAAAGACCATGTTGATATTAATAAAACTTCTGATAGATCCTTTATTCAATTAAAAACATCTAATAATGAAACAAATTTTTCTACAAAATAGACCTCTATTTTAAGTGCTGATATTCATAGATTTTCTGATAAAAAAATTGAGCAAGCCCAGTCTCATCTGAGTAAAAAACAACAGTATACAAAGGTTTTTGAGCTGGCCAAAACATTAGAAAACAAAGTTGTTGAGCTAAAATTAGACGAAAAATTAATTACTTTACTCGAAGATTTTAAACAGAACGAAATAATGCCAATTTCTTATTAGCAAAGCCACAATAGTGAACTAGGAAATGAAATTATTCAACAGTCAAGTTTAAGTCAAATTATAGTTAAAAATCCAGTATTAAAACCAGAAAGAGGCACCCTTGAGGAACACAACATATTCTATCTAGTATTGAAGTTAATTAGCGATCATCCAAAACAAGGAGTAATAAATATAAATACTGTAGTGAGCAAAGTTATAATATAAGAAGTTGTGAAAAAAAAAAAAATAGGATTGAATCAGATGATAGCATAAGCTCAGAATTGGAAGGTAATAGTGATGATTTAATTACAAAACAGTATTCAAAAAGAACAGATTACAATGACTCTGAATCAGAAAATGATAATAAAAACCTGGCTTCAAAGAATCTAAAGAGAACACAACATAGTAAAATTAATAAAGAGTCATTAGTATACCTAGATACTAGAAGTGTTAAGTATATATATTGTGGCGAACAGGAATATAATATAAGGCAGTGTAACAAGAAATACTAAATACATAATATAGAATATAGCAAAATTTATAAGGCAATTTCATCGTTATTTTGTTTTATATATTATTTTTTTGATTTGCACTGCAAATTAGATAATGATTCAGGTATTTTATGTATATAGTGTTCTTATATAATACTATTAAGACTGTATAGCAATTGGAGATCAACGATGAACAGTTAAGTAAAAATTAAATTCTATGCAAATAAAAATGAAATATTTTCTAGTGGCAATAAAAAAAAAAAGTGACTTGAGAAACTATATAGCCTGATTAGACTTTTATTGTTAGAGATATTAGTAAGATTCATAGACTTTATTATTGTTTTTTTTTGAAATTTTGTAATGGTAATAACTAATATTCAAGACTAGTATATTAACAAATTGCAAAATAGAAGTGTTAATCGACTCAACATAATAAAAATAAAAATAAGAATGAATGAATAAGCTAATTAACACTCTATTGTAAGGTAACTAAAATTTTTTAGTAGAATATGAAATTTTATTAATAAATTATTTATAAGAATGAAATTGATATATACATTTATACATTTGAGTAGTTGGCTAAAAGTTAAGGTTATTTTTTTGCTAAATAGTTATTTATATATAAATATTAAGTATACAATATAATAAGATTTTATTATATTTAGTCATATGATTTTTGACTAATTAAATATAAGTACGCAAAGTGTATAGTGCACTGTCTAGTTCTATCCTTTAAAATAAACTTATAACTTTGATTTGAAATTATTTAAAAATTTTAAAAAATAAATATAATTCTTTAAATATTTATTAAATAAAATTATAATTATATATCAAAATATTTTGTCAATATAACAAAAGTTGTAATTTTTGTTGAAGCTAAAACTTTATTCAAAAGTTTTTAAAATTTTTTACAAATATTATACATAGAGACTAAACTCATTACAACTTATAACTATGAACTAAACTCTAAAGAGTATTTGAATTAATTCTAATCATATAATCAAGTTTTTTTTTCAAATAGAAATTTGAGTTATTTGAATTATATATAGTAAATTAAAAATTTTAATAAATAACTTTTATAAAAATTATAATATATAATTGTTATATTAGTAATTAACTTGAGAGTATTGAGTTCATAATTCAAATTAGAAGAGAGCCAAAAAACATATGTTTTCTGGCCTTAAACTCAGTAGGCAGCAATATATATATATTGCTACCTACTTACATTAGACTGTTTTCTACTTATGAGAGTGATGAACAATTTGTGCTTGTGTTATCATTCAAGTGATGAACGATTCATGCTTGTGTCATTATTTGAGTGATGAACAATTTGCACTTGCATTGTCATTCGAGTGATGAACGATTCACACTTATATCATCATTCAAGTGACAAATAATTCACGTTTGTGTCATTATTTGAGTAACAATTAGTTTACGAGTTCATCATCATTTGAATGACGATTAGTTTACACTTATATCATTACACTTGGGTATCTCATAATCTATAAAAATTATGATGACGATTTTAGGTTCATATTGTCACATTTAAATATCTCATGATCTATAAAAAATATGCTAACGATGTATTCAGTTGCATGTCTACCCAAAGCATAATTTTTTATAATATATATCTATAATAATTTTACTTTAAGTAGACACTAATTTTTCTTTGCTAATGATGTATTCAGTCATGTGTCATCATTTGCAGGTCTAGTGTGAGGACTATGCCTGCACATAGTGCTGAATTGTTATCATTTATTTTGTGTCTACCCAAAGCATAATTTTTTATAATATATATCTGTAATAATTTTATCTTGGGTAGACACTAATTTTTCTTCGAATTATGTAACTTCGAGCAATAAAATTATGAGAAGGTGAAATCTCTGAAATTTTTCATGATCAATACTTATCAATAAATTGTTATCATTTATTTTGTATTCATCTAAAGCATAATTTTTATAGGGCTTTGCTCATACTTCACATAATATATATCTATGATAATTTTACCTTGAGTAGACACTGTTTTTTTTTCAAATTATATAATCAAAATAGTATATGTTATATCTAACCACCCTTTCTTTAATAATTTTACCTTGACCAGACACTAATTTTCTTCGAATTATACCTTAACTGGAGACTGATTTTTTTTTGAATTATATATACATTTTGTGTCTATTGAAAGTATAACTATTCTTTCTATAAAATTATACCTTAACTAGACACCAAATTTTTTTCGAATTATATATATATTTTGTGTCTATTCAAAATGTATTTTATAAGATTAGTAATTATACCTTGACCAGATAATGATTTTATCTATGTAATCTTATATTCTGAATTTGGCCTATTATCAAAAATTTTGTGATACAAAAATGGTTATCAATTGAATTTACTTACTTTATATATGAACTGTATTTTGATCAAAATTATATAACACAAAAATGATTATAGTTACCTACCCAATTTTCAATTTGGATTTTTTCTAGCACTTATTATAAGAGATGACAAAAATGGTCTTATCTGAGGTAAATAGTTAGTTAGTTAAATGTAGTAATATACCTTCTACCAGAGGTATACTACTTAATTAGATTGTACAATAATTATATATAATCAATAAGAGCTAAAGATTTATTTTTCAATTCTTTTTTGTGCAGAGTAGTAGGTATACTCATCTTAGTTTTAAAATTTTACTTATATTCTAAGAAGTTAGCTTCACTCATACTCTCATGCTCTTTTTTTTCTTTTTTTCAAGTTCGAAAAAAAGTGATACTTCCAGGGTATAATTAACTAAAATATTTAAGTTAAATTCTAATATTATAAAAATGCAAAATTATAATGAAATTAATACTAAAGCTCTTACCTATGCCAAAAGATATGAAGGATAATACTTGGCTAAAGTTAGATCAAACCCTAATATTTATTTATAGGTTTGTAAAAATCAGTATCGATAGGAAGCATTCTATAAAAATATGAAGCAAAATTATAGGTGATGCAATATTTGTCTCAATGTACCAGAAAGAATATGCTGATATATTTTTAAAGATTTATTAAATAAAAAATTTCCACTCAGAAAATCTAAATTCTTAGAAGGGTTATATCTAGATAGATATAATAAAGAGCTAGATTTGGCTTTTGAATATAGTAGTAATCAATATTACCAAATCGTGCCTTTTTTTCATTCACAAGGTCAGATAAATCTAGATGCACAAATTTGGCATGATTAGGAAAAAAGAGTATTATGTTATAGAGAAGGAATAATTCTTATTACAATACCCTACTGTGTAGTAGACTTAGAAACTTTTATAAGGAGCACTTTATATGTATTCAGTTATCTTCCAAGACCCACCTAGGAGGTAGTATAGGTTTTTCTTTAATATTTATTAATTTTTCTCTTACAAAAAGACGTTGAGGATCTGTTTCATCTAAATAATATAATACAGGCATTAGTGGATTTTTTCTAACAACAATTTTCTGAATTTTATAAAGGCTTAGACTCTATACTAGATCTGTTATTCTTCGTCATTCAAAAAGATCATTTTTCCATTCACCAGGAGCAAGTAAAAATTGAACTATAGTTCCCTTTGGTAACTGTAGCTTATCAGCACCTACTAGATGATAATACTTTGTTATTATTAGAGCTCATTCTAATTAATTGGGTTGGAGTATTATTCATATTATTAATAATTTTCTGTACAAATCGCTTACATTTTCTACAGTGTTTACCAGTAGGTAAGAGAAATTCTATTGCATACTGATTTTTAAAAACTCTTAATTCAAATAATCCAGCATAACAGTCGACTATAGCCAAGCTTGTATATCTGAAATGTGCTTTAATTCTTCAGATATTAATATTGTTAATCTATTATTAATGTTACACTTCCCATGAACTCACGACCTTCATCATATTGCAATAGCTGAGCCCAGTTAAGAGAATTGTTAGAATTATTATATATACTCTTAAATGCTTTCGCAACTTCTTCACTACTTTTTGATATTAAAAAAACAAAATCTTTATATCTAGTTGTATAGTCTATAACTAATAGTACATAGTAAAATATTGGGCTATTATCTAACAAACCCATATCCATATCTTCATCATATAGTATTTCAATTAAATCACACTGGTGTACAGAATTCAGTTTTGTAATTTTAGAGTAACTGGCATAAGATATATTCTTCAGTAGAGAACGAAAAATTTGATATATTACTTGGTCATCAAGCTATTTTTTTATATCATTAAATAGAAAGTTGTAGCCAGCTTTTTTACAAGCGTTCCACAATCTCTTAATATTTTGATAGAGACCTTCAGGCTGATAATACAGCTTCTGTAAGGCAAAATGTTAGTTAAGATCACATACTTTTTGGAAATCAATAAGAATCATAAATTTTTGTAATATCAAATTTCGATCTTTAACTTTTTTACTTTTAGTAATTTTTTGATCGAGTTTATAGGCTTTTTGTAGATCAATATAAATCAAAAGTTTTTCTATTATACTATAGTAATAAAAAATATGGAGAAGTTACAACAATCTAACTAAGAACTCTATGAGGTAGTATTACAATTAGTGAAAACAAATAAAAATTTTGAACAATGTCTATATACCTTAGAAAGAATTATTAGTATACAGGAAGAAAGAATAAGATTTCTTGAAGAAAAGTTAAATAATACAATCGAAGTTTCTATAGAAGAGAAAGAGGAGTTAAAAAAAGAAATCTCAAAACTAAAAAGAATTATTTACTAACTTGAGAAAGAAAATAAAAAGAAAGACAAGGAAATTTCAGATAAGGATAGATTAATATTAGAATTCGATGAGCGTGAAATAAAATTAAAAACCAAAATACAAGAAATATCTAAATTCGCTGGTAATACTCCAAAAGCACAAGATTATACAACTAGATTAGTAGATGAGAATGAATAGCTTAAATGAGAAATAAATACAATAAGGACTAACTAAATAAATAG